GTTAGCATCGCAGACATCGCGGGGGAGGGGTGAGGGGTTAGCATCTCAGCAGTCGCGGGGAGGGGAGGGGTTAGCATCTCAGCCTCGCGGGGGAGGGGGAGGGGTTAGCATCTCAGCGGACATCGCGCGGGAGGGAGGGGGTTAGCATCTCAGCACTCTGCGGGGGAGGGGAGGGCGTTAGCATCTCAGCATCGCGGGGGGAGGGGGAGCGGTTAGTTAGCATCTCAGCATCGCGGGGGAGAGGGACCGCGGCGGTTAGGCATCTCAGCAGTCGCGGCTCCCGGGAGGGGGAGGACGGTAGCTTCTCTACGCATCCGGCGTCGCCTCTTCGCTGGCGAGGGGAGCGGGTTAGCATCTCAGCATGCGCGGTGGGAGGCGGGAGGGGGGGTTTCAGCATGTCTCAGCATCGCGGGCGGAGAGGGGTGAGGCGTCTAGGCATCTCAGGCCATCGCGGGGGAAGGGTGGGGGGTTAGCATCTCTAGCATCGCGGGGGAGGTGGGGTTAAGTCATCTCAGCATCGCGGGGGGAGAGGGGGTTTAGCATCTCAGCTCCGACACGGGGCGGAGGCGGATTGCCCGGGGGTTAAGCATCTCGCATCGCGGGGGAGGGGGGGGCGTTAGCATCCTCAGATCGCAGGAGGGAGGGGGCGCGGGCGTTAGCATCTCAGCATCGGCGGTGGATAAATCTCAGCAGGCATCACATGGAGCAGAGAGACGCGTGATGCCAGCGAACAGAACAGCCGCGCGGTGGACGGGAACATACAGGATGGTGGAAACGCCCACCGCAACGATGCTTAACCGTATGTTACTTCTCAACCGCTTAATTTGTGTTGCTAACCATTTCGGTTCTTTGCGGATTGAACTTCATTCCGAAGTTTGATGTGAGTCTGAAATGGAATGACACATGCCTCCATGTATTGCGACGAAGGGTCGGTTGTCGTAACAGGTACTATACAGTCTAGACAGGTCTTGCAGCCGGATATTACGCGGCGAAGCGCGGCGGAACAGCGCCACCTGTGCGCACATCTCAATGACAACTCGCTGCACCTGATATTAGAATACTTTCACAGCTGAGGCCATTCTCTTGTATAGGAGATAAAAGACCCGTATAATCGGGTCAATTGAGCAGTCTGGCCATTCGCAGAAGCCTTTGGCTCTGCCACGTCCTAGGGCCAGAGAAATAACATCAAATACTCCGTTTTTGTTGCCCTTGTGGTCGTCGCGCGCGTGCTTTTCGTTTTAGAAAAATAATTCTTCCTTTCGCTCCTGATTTATGCCCTGACCATTAATTTGGAAGTTTCGCCACCCTAAGATTTGGCTCGCTACGAGGGGGGTTTTTCCATCTACGTACCGATTTACAAGTTTTTTTTTTAAAACGCTCGGGCTGCATGACCTAGGACGACCGCGCGGTGCCACAGTTCGAACACGCTAGCGTAACTGACTTCAGTGTTGAAGCACCAGTCTTTACTCGAATCGTTTGACGTGACACTGTCGATTCTCGTAAGGACCATCTTAGGACACCGGTGAGTTGATGTTGTTAATTTACCACTCACAATGGGTTATGTGGAAAACCACCAGCCGTATGTGTACGTCGTTATTACCCCCATGCTCTCATGTTGCAATACATGACCGTCATTAGCTTTCAACCATTGTATATACTAGCAGAGTCGCAAGCGATCAATAATTACCATACCATAGCCCCTTCTTCAGTAGGATCCGGGGTACAGCATAACAGCAATATTCAGCATATCTTCTTTCGACATTCATACTATACCATCGATCTTTCAACTCATCGATAATATGATGCAGGCCGTTGTACTGGCGTGCAAGTTAAGGTTGTTCCAGAAGGACGAAAGATTCTTTGCCATTAGGTGATGCGAATGTTGGCCAATTAGTGTCGTAATAGTCTCGGGCCTAATAGTGAATGAGTAGTCGGTTACACTCAGTTTGACGGTAACTGCGTCTACTACGTACGTACACCTTAAATGATCTTCACGTCTTCTCGTACATGATTGACAAAGTGAAAAGAACGTTTCATTACGCGCCACTGGTAAGCCTTGATATTGTTTGTGTAGAAGCACAGGCCCCTTGAACGCTCAAGTTTGCGAAAAAACTATAGAGATCTAATTAAGAGCCGAAGCGTATATTACCTGGCGGCTGCGTTACCGTGCGAGGAGTTTTATCAACCTTCGTTGACCCCGCGCGCCCCGTCGACGGCACGTCGTGCGAGCACGGCAGCTCCTCCTCTCTAGCCCGTTTTGCCAGTTTTGTTATAATTATTCACATCGTACAGCGTGCTGGCTCGACTATATAGCAAAAACTTCGTCTACCCCTGGCGGTCGGAGGGGAGGCGCGTCCATTGCTGTTGTGCTCAGAGACAAACTTCACTGACAGAAAATGACTTGAGATAGTGTCGCACGGCTGCTCGACTCAGATTTGGTATACCTTCACGGATTATTGTACATGCATGACCTTCCAAACTAATATAAAGCTGACAACATTGCAGTAATATGCATGCACCGCTCTGAGTATAGTCATAACTATTACTCAGTAAATTTAAATTATGCATCACTAGTCTATAGTTGACACAGATTAGTGTATGTGATGTATATCTATTCGTCGCGTCAACTACTGTATATGTCCATATATAGATTGTATAGATGATGTGTAATCAATCAGAAGTACATGTGCAAAATGTTGATATGAAAAAAAATCATGGTCTAAATAGGATGCCACAAGGATCACGACTCGACAGAAAACACGCAAATGCAGGGGACTAGATCTAGTGATCCGTCAAATATAAATACTAAGTATAAAATCCAAGCTTATGCTTTCGCTGCAGCTACCGCTGGTTATATGGAAGCCGCGCTGACGCATGAATAAAATAGCAATTATAAATAAAAACTGTAATACATCACAGTGTAGAACTAGAAGTTAGGACGGTCGGGTCACAAAAACTGAACATCCTTTTACAGCAAAATATATGTTGAAGACTTTGTTAGTGTAATTATTTCTCAGATGAGACATTATAAGCAGTAATGTAGCCAGCATGCGGCTAGCACCACACACTGTGCGGCGATAAAGCATGACAATTGCAGCTCAGCTGCTTTCATTGTATTTCGGAGTGAATTTTAACGATTCAACATAACTAGCTGAACGCGCTAGGACCTTTACGGCATCGGCAATTAATTATGGGGTCGACGCGCGCAGACGTTGGTGGGGGTGGCTTGTGGTTTCAATTATATGTTGATTATTACCGTCGTCATTGTTTGTATATAGTGTAGAACATTTCGATTTACATGAATAGAGGCGTCATTATTTCCGCAGTATATTATTATAAATAACCCAGCTTATGTATCCGCTGCCAGGCTGAACCCGCCTCCGTTACATTGAAGCCACTGCGCATACTAAAATACAATTCATTGAATTAAAACTTATACAAACACAGTGTACGAGCACAGGTGTGACACTCTTTATACGATCTTTTTCATTGAACTTGCAAAGAACAGCAGCTCAATGCAGCTCAGCTGTTTCATTGTGATTCCCGGTTAAAAGCTATCGAGTCGTCGCAGAGAATTTCGTCAGTCTTTCGTGTGATTTCCGCCGTCACACAGCTCGGTTGGACAGAAGAGAGAAATTATGTTTTTATACAAGTGTGAACACTGTTGACGTCCCAAAAATGTCTACCCTGCTGTGTCCCCTCACACTGCTTGCACTTGCACCCCCGCGGCCCCCCCTAACGAGGCACCCGAC